AGAGCGGGGGACGCTGCCAGGAAAGGGAGCTCTTCCCCAGTGCCCCCGCCAGGGGTGAATGAACACGATCACCTCAGAAATCAGTACAGACAGTCCTCCAAAACGAAAACCAGAAATTCCATTTGACCAGCTACCTAGACGTCTTCCCCAAGAGTTAGACATCACAGTAAGAGATCCGCGCACACTGTGTTGGCAGCAGCACAGACACCAGAGGCACACCACAGAGGCACCCTGCAGGCCACCAGCGGATGCCTGGGTATCTACGCACAGCAGAGCACTGCTCTGTCATAACGAAGGCTACGCTCGAGTGATCCAGAGGAGAATGGGAACCCCGAGACCCTGAGGGGAAGCTGCGTGAATCAGGCGCACAGTGCTCAGTATTGCGCGGTTTGTCTTCTAGGAGAAACCCCAGGTATCAATAGAGAGCACAATAAAAGATGGATACTGAGCAGTCATGAGTTCGATCCCTGGTACCGATAAAAACGAAAAAAGACCAAAAAAAAAAAAAAAAAGATGGATACTGAGATACAGGGAGAAGGATCTTTCTCCCGTGGTCAAGAGAGGGAGAGAGCGGGTGGGGGGTGAAGCGGTGACAGAGGGATTAAGCTGTGTGACAGCCACGCACCCACTGCACACAGCCGTGAGCGCCAGGGCCGCAAACGTGGCCTGGTGAAAAATGGAAGCCGAAAGAGATTACAACAAAGTAGGGTCCAAAGGGCTGGACCGCCTGACCTCTGCTGTCCAGCGGCGAGCACCACCCCGGCCACGCCCTCCACGCAGTGACGGGCCCTCTGCTGCCCGCAGCCCAGCTGGCCTGGCCCTTTGGTGCAGGGGCTCCTTCCTTGTGCATAGGTCGGTCCCTGACCCTCTCGGGCGCTCAGCACAGGGACCAGCGCGGACCCCAGTGCAGCCCTGGCCACGGCCTCGTGGGGACCTCAGCATGGCTGGCTGTGAAGTGGAACACAGGGGGAGAAGGCACAAAGCTGTGGACACGTCGAGGGCCGCCACCCTGCAGAGGCCCTCCCAGCCTCGCCAGTCGGGGCGAGCAGGCGGGCACTGCTGCCTCCCCTTAGCCAGCCCTGCTCTTCCGAGTCCCTGCTGGGCTCGCTTGGGGCTCACCCACGCTTGTGTGTGTCACCCCGAACGGCACTCAGTCCCTGGTTTGTAAGCTGCCTCTGCGGGGATTGGAGAAGCAGGTGTCCGGAGGCCTCGTGGGAGATTAGAACGGGCTTTCTGTTGGCTGGTGTCCAAACCTGGCCCACGCGGCCCGAACTGAGACACAGGTCACGCTTCTGTCACAGTAAACCACGGTGACGATGGACCTGTAACGTTTTGCCTGGTACGAAAGCTGCTGACTTCCACTTTTATAAATGACTGGGTTCTCATACGGGGTCCAGCTCAGGGACAAAATGATGTACAATACGATGCACAGCTCAAATCCCAGGCTCCTAAAATACAAATCGCCAGAGGACACTTGGGTGATGAGATCCGGGAGTTTAAGTTGTCATTGTCCGTAATTCAAGTGTAGATGAAAGAACTGGGGACGGATGGGACGCTGCATCAGTGTCGGTCCCTTTAAAAAGGGCTGCCTTGAAGACGACCGACCCCATAGAAGGGCCTGGATGGTCTTAATCACACCTGAAATTCCTTAAGTAAAAATCTAGTTAATTAAAAAAAGAGATGGGCGTTCTCTGCCATCTGACAAATTTTACCGAGTGCATTTGAGAGCCTCATCTGTGTCACGGTGCGCAGTCCGGTCCTTTTTACTGCTGAAAACCTTTCACCTGTGCCGGTGTACCTTACCAGTTCCATGCTTAATGGGCAAGTGCTTGGTTTCACACGTGCCTGTGCTGAGGTTTGCACACCTAACAGGACTCCTACCTCCTCTAGGCTGATGGACAGGAGCAGGTGTGCCCATCTGCACTTGCTGGGCGCCTGTGTTTGGGCTTCAGTTGTCCCCTGTCCTCACCAGCACTTGGCATGATTAATTCTTTTAATTTGAGCTGATTTGGTGGTGGCACAGGGCATCGCACCGTGGTTTTTATTTGACAGCTAATAGAGTTGAGCTCATTTTTATCCATTTATTTGACTTTGTCGATTAGAGCTTTGGCAACTTAATGCTCTGACTCACTCCGCACTGCAGCCAAGTGTAATAAACCGGCTGACGTGCGGTTTAGTCATCTGGCCCCCGTCGACTTCGGCTGGATTTTGGTCCCCGGGGCTGGTCCACACGGTCCCGGGTGTAGGGATAGATTATATTCACTGGCGCCCCCGTGTTCTGGGCACAACTCAGGGTGTGACACGGGCGACGTCTCTGTCCTCACAGCTGCTCTGTGAGGGCGGCACTGGCATCGTCTCCACTTGACGTGCAGAGGAGCAGGAGAGGTTGGGTTGCTCTCTCGGGCTGCACAGCCAGCAAAGGGCGACCGGCTCCAGGCCACACACTCACTGCTCTGCGCGCTGCCTGAGGGCCCTGGATGCTTCAGACAAGCTGTAGGATGGCTGCAAACTGAATAAACAAATGGACTTGTTGACTGCAGAGAGGGAAAAATAGTTGCAGAACAGGACAAAAGATCAGTGTGCTTAGTGAGTGAAGGGTTTCACCAACCAACAGAAGTAAACAATCTCAGGAGGAAAAGGACTAGAGGCCCCGGAGGTGGGGAGCCCCAGGGTTTCTGCGTACTTTTCCATGTCTTTGCTCCCCTTCTGGCGGTATTTCAGCACATTCGGGACTGCGGAGCTCTGCACCGGATCTCCCTGTACAGATCCTCGCGGGCCTGCCTGACGCCCAGGTCGTGCAGAGTATTGGTTAGGAGCTCACATTTGCCTCTCCATTTCTGTGGATTTTGGTTTCGGCACCAGCCCCGTAGACACCAGAATGTGCAAGCTTGCAGGTCCCTGGCAGGAAACAGGCAGGTGACACACAGGCTGGGGGAGCCTCGGTGCACAGCGACTCCCTGAGACTCGTCTTCCGGTCACATACAACCCCGAGTGCACGGAAAGCCTCACTCTGCACCGTGGCGGTGCAGGGGCTGAGCTCACTGGGTCCTGCCCCATCCCGCCACGGACCAAGGCCAAGGGAGGGCTGCGCCTCAGGACGCGCTGAGCTGCCACCAGGGCCGCTCTGCAGGGTGCTGTCCTTTGTCTCAGCAGAGGGAAGGAAGAGAGCTCTGGCCTGGCCTCTGGGCCTCGGTGCTGGTGACCCTGGGCTGCGGCTCCCCAGGGTGGGGCTGTGGCCGGCATGGCAGGTGAGTTACAGGACGCTCAGGCTGTCTGGGCTGCTCCTGGTAGGTGTCAACATCACCCCCCACCATCGCAAGTAAAGCTGCTTCAGACAGGATTTCGGGGTGCACACAGGAACTCGGGGTGCACACAGGAACCCAGGGGAGTGCACAGGAACTCAGGGTTGCACGGGAACTCGGTGGCCTGGCCGAGGTCCCATCCACCAACCACTCGCAAGCCGCACAGGATCGCAGCGCGTCATGATTCCTGTGCCCGTGACACCAGGCTCCTCGTGTCAGAGCTGGGGACGGGGCTCACCTCGTCTGCGTGCTTGTGGGAACCCTTGCATTTCCGGCTCACCCAGCTGCATGCAGTTTTCCCGCGCCCTTTGTTTCTTCTCATGAGCTTGAGTTTGTTGTTTTCAGTGTTGGAGTCGAACCCAGAGCCTCACACTGGCGACACCCTCAGGCGTTCCCTCCCTCCCTCCCTCTCTCCCTCCTCCCCCTTCCCTCCCACCTCTCTCTCTCTCTCTCAGGCTTCCTATTTTTTATTTTGAGACAGGGTCTTGTTAAGTCACTAAGGTGCCCAACTGAGCTTGAAGCTTTGATCCTCCTGCCTCAGCCTCCCAGAGTGCTGGGATTACAGGGTTGCGTGTGAGCCTGATTTCCTCCTGTTCCTGGCACTCTCTTCCCATCACAGCCACGCCCTGGCCTGCTCCTGAGGTCACCTTACACCAGCCGCACTTGGGATTGGAGGGCATTTCCTTTAAGGCCGCACCCTGCACCACCTCCCAGACCTGCTTCAGGGGACCCGAGAAAGAGAAGGGGGAAGGGGAGGTGTCCCAGGTGTCCCAGGGCAGTGTCCACAGACGCCTGGTGGCCCGGCTGGAGATGCTGGCACGTGGGTGGGTACTGACGGTGGCTGTGGCTGGGGGACACAGGGGCAGTGTCCTTGGAGCAGACGGAAAGGCAGAAGAGAAGGCGGGTGGCAGAGCTGGGGCAGGGGCATGGTGGGAACAGCATGGATCCTACCTGGCACAGAGGCCAGCTCAGGACACAGAGAGTCTTAGCCTCGGGGATCACTGGTGTCCAAAGTGGGGTCTGCCCTCTGCCTGCTCAGCCAGCAGAGCGAGATGGGGGGAAATCCTGTCCCTGACTGTGTCCGTGTCCAGGTGGCTGTGGACATCAGGGTCCCTGCCCCGTCTTGGGCAAAGATCGACCGGGAAGCGGCGGGAGGCAGAGGTGCCCGAGCTCTGGGCCACACATGGGCGCCGTCCTGGCCCGGGCTCCCCGTGTCCAGCTGTGCTGGGGCTCAGGCCCTTCCATGGTGACCCAGGCACCACAGGAGCTCTGAGGCCCAGTGTGGGGTTAGTGGGGGGACACGGGATGACAGGCTTGGAGGCCAGGTGTGCTGTCCGCGGCCATCCCAGCCGCTGAAGACTCGGGGAGCAGCGCACAAACCAGGACCCAGAGCGGAGACGCTGAGCGCTCAACGCTGCCCCGGAGTGAACCCCCAGAGGGTTCTGCCCTCCCCGACCTGAGCAGGGGAGTCAGGAGCGGCTGGGGTGCAGACCTGCTCTGCGGCAGGGCCCGGCTGCTCCAGGGACTGCTGTCACGGGCCGTGCACGCTGTGTCTTTGAGGGAGCCAGCCTTGCCGGTCACACGGAAGGCGCGGTCCGCATGGTGCTGTCCCTCTGTCCCTCCCTCTTACAGCAGAACCACAGCGGGCAGGGCCCAGCCTGGGTGACCCCGGCTCTGCAGGGCGGACGTCTCTCCTACCTTTCCCATGCCCGCGTGGGCGTGTCCCAGCTTGACCACCACGGGGAAGTGCGGGGCGGCGACCTGGAAGACACAGAGGAAGCTGTTAGTGGCTGCCGGGACGGGACGCTGCCCACACTACGGGTGTCACCAGGGGCCCCGGTGTGCTCTGTGGGCGGGCAGTGGCCTCGCCCCAGTTCCTGCCTGGACCAGACAGCCTGGGCACCCAGCAGACTGCAGAGACGGGAGAGTGTGCTGAGGTAACTGCTTTCATACTCAGGCTTTGGTGTGGTGCAATTGCTGACAAGCCATTGCACTTCTGTGCCTCAGTTTCCCCATCTGTAAAATGAGGAAACAGTAGCACCACCCCAGGGACGGGGTGAGTTACCACACAGGCGAGCTCCGTGGGTGGCAGCCTTGTCATTTCTGGCATGGTTCTGTCTCACAATCTTTCCTGCAACGTTAGCAGCCAGGCCTTCACCAGCCTCTATAGGAGATTTCTTAAAAGTGGTGGGCTTGGACTTGAGATCCTCCTGCCTCAGCCTTCTAGCGTACTGAGATTCCAGGTGTGCACCTCCACATCTGGCTGCGTGACGGTCTGTGTGGGTCCCTATTGTTTCCACTGTCCTGGGACACCTCCTGTGCTGTCACCTCTGAGAAGGATCTGCTGGGTGCACAGGTGGGGACAGGGCTCTGAGATCTACAGCCCTGGACCCCAGATGCCCGCCCGCCCGGGGAGGAAAAGCCAGACCAGGGCTCACACCTCCGATGTGAATTTCACGGGTGTGGCCTGGGTGTGTTTGCTCTGGTGCTAGAAGTTCATTTTACGTCACCTGGGCGCAAAGGCTTTCTTTCCCTCCAGAGGCTGCGTGAGGCCTGATCAAAAGGTCGGGAGATTTTCAGTTAAAAAGCCACAGTGAGGACACTGTCCAGTCCCCTCGGAGTCCTCCCCTCCCGACACGACACTCTCTTCCCACCGTTCCCGCGCGTCTTTCCCAGCTAGGACAAAGATGCAGTGACCCCAGCCCCACAAGCTCTGAGACCCCGGCGCTGCATCCCACCCCCTGGCCCCCCTGGGCTTGGCCGGGACTCCATGCTCCCCTCCAAAGCCAGGCCGGGAGACGGAAGCGCTGTGAGCCGAATCAGGAATCAGGACGCAGAGGCAGCCGGCCCCTCGGGAAAGGGGACCCCACAGCTGCCTCGGGGACGGGCGAGTGGTCGTGGTGACGGAGGATTTGAGGGGACTCGTGGCGAGGTGTCTTCCACTGTACAGGCATCTTCACTGGATTTTCCCTCACGCTGCCCCTCTGTGGCCCTGGCCAGGGCCATCGCCTGGCCATCACCCTGTCCCGGTGCCCACCGGCTGAGCTCTGCCCTTCGGCCCTGGCACCCCACGGCCCCACTCTGCACCTCCAGGGTTGCTGCCTGCCCTGCCATGTCATGGCTGCTGTCACCACAGCAGAAGGGCCAGCACACCCCAGGCCTCACCCCAGCCCATGTGCCTCACGCAGCCGGCAGGGAAGGTGCTTCTGCTCCCATTGTACAGACAGGGAAACTGAGGCTGGAGTCGGCCGTGGGGAAGGGGCAGAGGCAAAGTCTCGACCTCCACTCCGTCAGACCCCAGTGTTCTTCCAAGTCAGGGCTGGACTGTGATTGAAAACTCCCCAGACCAGGCTAAATCCGCTCTTCCCTGCTGTCTGTTGAAAACAAACGCATTTAAATTTTTTTTTTTTGTCTTTTTCCTTTTTATCGGTACCAGGGATTGAACTCACGACTACCTGCTTACAAGGCAGGCTCTTATGCCGCTGAGCTAAACCCCCAGCCCCAGCAAACACATTTAAAAAGGAATCGATATCTGACTTGGCTCCCAGAGCGACCGCGCTCACCACAGCACTAAGGTGTCTTGTTCTCGGACTTATAAGGGCTTCGGTGCCCCGGGGGCAGGGCTTTTTATTTACTTATTTCTAATAAACACTGTTTGTCTCAAGTCTGGTCCACTCCGTGAGCACACGCGGCGCCGGCCGGATTTGTCTCCTGGGGGCTGCGTGTGTGGCAGTGGCTGCAGGCGATGGGCGGGCCTTGCCCAGCTGCCCGGGGGCCCCCTGAACCCCGGGGCCCCCTCCTCATCCTCTGCCCCACAGCCCTGGGGGAGTTCTGCTGCACACCTCAGCCCTGCGGCCGCACTCAGCTCCCGAGGGGCACCACCTGCAGTTCACACCCGGCACGTGCCACCGAGGCGCCCGAGCTGGGTGTCTGCCAGGCCCGTGCCCACCGCCTGGCCACGCTAACCGGCAGTCTGCACACCGTGATGCGGAGCGTGCCCTCTGGCAGCCTTGGCTGAGGGCTGGGTGGGGGCACCGCCAACTGGTCCCCAAGTGGTCGTGAAGGGGAAAAATTAAACTTTTGAGTCAAAGGCTGCCCAGGATGCCCGCCAAGACCAAGCGGACGTGTCCTTCGGGCTGAGGACAGGGCGCTTCCTCCGGAGGTGACCCAGGCCCCGCTGTCCTTGTGTAACTGATGGCTCGCCGTGTAACTTAATGGGTGACAGGATGTGAGACTGGACCGAAATGTTCAGCCTCCCCCGATGACCACGACACCATGATGACCCCGACCCTCCTCACACGCCCCGAATCTGCTCTTGAATCTCTCCGCTCACCCTCCCTTTACAGCCCTGGAGCCAGCCGGCCAGGGCTCCGGCTCTGGGAGAGGTCCCAGTCAGCCCGCCGGGGTAGCAAACTGCCTCCTAGACCTCCCCCGTGCCCATCCCTGCCGCGTTCGGTCCGTTTTTCCTAACAGCCATGCCCGCTTCCGCTGAGGGGACCCTGGGCTGGAAGACACTGATGTTTCACCAACGGGCCACGCAAGGTGGAAGCGAAGCCAGGGCTTCACCTCGGGAACTCTGTCGCCTGGCACAGGCCACGCAGCGCTGACTGCGCCTGTCCGCACCCCTCAGGGCCCTCCACGACGCTCTGCTGTGAGGGTGACGGTTGTCGCTCAAGGCTCCGCCTGCTTGTTGTGTGACACCTGGGCCAAGTCTCGTCCTGAGCCCTAAAGAACCACAGAGCGCCGGGGAGGTGGGCAGAGGCATTAGGATCAAAGGACGAGGGAGATGCGGGGGCCGCAGGGGAGGAATGGGGAGCCTCAGAAACTGCGGGGGCCGCAGCTAACATCCGGCTCAGAGCCGCCCCCTCGGTGTCGCTGTGGGCGGTGACCGTGCCTGTAGCTGCAGTGCCCCAGCGAGGACCCCTTTCCAAGGAAGCGAAGGCTGAGGGTCCTGCTGGCTGCTCCCTGGGGAGGCTGAGTCAAAGCAGTCTCTGCCCAAATCGGCGGCCCTGGACCCAGATCCTGCCCAGTCCTGGACCTGGAAGCCAGACCCAGGCTGGGGGCGTCCCCTGCTCCTGTGGTGGAGGTTTGAATCCCAAGTGCCTGGTCCTGGCCCATCACTGCTGTGATGCGAGTGTGTGACCAGGGCAGCTCATGGCTGGGCTGTGACCTGCGTCTGGTGAGGCAGAGGTGGGGTCCCCCCAACACTGGCCACTCAGCAAGGCGGTGGCTCGGACCTGCCAGGGCCACCAGGTGCTGCCAGTCCCTGGGCCCCTCTGTCCCTGGACAACGCTGGCATAGGTGGGTGGAGGCTGGCAGGTCCTGGAGGACCTGGGCAGCACTGCAGGACTGTGGGTGCCAGTGTGTGGATGGTGGCGGGGACCCTGAGAGCCGGTCATCCCTGGGCCCCAGGGACAGTGGGTGACAGCTCGGGCCTGACCGCCCTGTCTCAGTTTCTCTCCCAGCAGGTCACTGCCATCCACTGACGGATGAGGGGCAGAGCCTGAGACCTGAGGGTCACAGAGTGGCCCCATGAATCACTGCCGCGGCGGCGTGGGCAGCACTGGGGGGCCCGGGGTCCAGCACAGAGTTGAGGTGGGGTTCACCCCATTCCTGTCCCTGCCTCTGTCTCGTCCCAGGGACATGGTGATGGTGGGGAAGCCATGTCACAGTGGGAATGGGAAGGGGAAGAAGGGGGAAACTGAGGCAGGAGCATGACAGGAAGGGCGGCCAGAGGAGACTGTGAGGGACACTTGACAAGGACCCGCTCGAAGGGCCCTGGCCGGGTGAGACCCGACAGCCATTCACAAACTTAGCACCACGGGCGGGGGAGGCGATGGCCTGGAGCCTCCCAGTCCTTTTGCCTGGTGACAGATCTAGAGGTCACCTCGGAACAGCCCCCACCCCCCGGCTTTCCACCGCCTCCCCAGCTCGGACGCTGGCACCCACCGGCCACAGGGCCTTTGCAGGTGCCCTCCTCCTCCGAGACTGCCTTGGTCCCCTTATGCTCAGCCAGGATCTTGGCCTTCTTGTCCCTCCAGGTGCCCGCTGTCACCCTGTCCTGCCAGCGCATGTATATCTGTGGGTTTGTTTAACTCAAAGTCCAGCTCTGGGGAGCCTGCTCCTGGCCCAGCGTGCCACAGCCCCCACCGTGTGTCTCACGCCCGCCATGCCTCTCTGCTGGCGTCTGCCCCAGCGCACCCCACCCCACCGTGCCCTGGTTGTGGGGGTCAGTGTGCAGGGCTGCTTCCTGTATCCCCGACAGCGGAACAGTCAGAAACAAACAGCAGGAGGGTAGCGGTCTGCCTGCCACTGTCCCCCAACGGTCCTCCCGCCTTCCTGTCCCCCTCCTCCTCCTCCTCCCTGTGCTCCTCCCTGTCCTCCTCCCCCTCCTCCTCCTCCCTGCCCTCCTCCTCCCTATCCTCCTCCCCCTCCTCTTCCTCATCTCCCTCCTCCTCCCCCTCCTCCCTGTGCTCCTCCCCCTCCTCCCTGTCCTCCTCCCTGTCCTCCTCCTCCCCGTTCTCCTCCCCCTCCTCCTCCCTGTCCTCCTCCCTGTCCTCCTCCTCCTCCCAGTCCTCCTCCCCCTCCCTCTCCTCTTCCTTATCTCCCTCCTCCTCCTCCTCCCTTGTGCTCCTCGCCTGTGCCGTGTCTATGGTGTGGCCTGAGCACTGTCTGCCTACAGCCCTGATACAGATGGTCACCCTTCCTTTTCTGGGGCTTCCGATGACGGCTGGGCGCTGAGCACTCTCACCCGGCCTCGG